CACCACAGCCCTAGAGGTATGCCGTTCAAATCCACCAGATGCTCTGCTGAAGAAGGGACAATCTCCTCCTGTACCAGTCAGATCCCATTTGATGGTACACACACAAAAAATAATAAAAAATTTAAAAAAAAACCCCACAATTAAACCCCTTCTACTAATAAAATTTCAGGGTTAGATTGTTTCAACCTATTAATTCTGTATGTTCTAAAGAAGAAGAAAAGAGGTAACACTTTCCATCTCATTTAATTACAGCATAATGCTGAAAGTAAAATGTAATGTATATATATATATACACATATATATATATATATATATATGCAACAAAAGATTAACTATTCTATGCTATAAACTATAGCTTGAAACTGATGCTCTTAAACAGGAAGCAAAGCTGCATTCTTTCCTCCTCTACTGACAAAAGCCTAGTGTAACTGAGAGCATTCAGAACCTGTCAAGATTAGATTCTCTAAACTAAGGCCACCTGTGAATTTTGTATCCTAAATCCCTTGAAGGTCTTTCAAGACACATTTTGGTAAATGTCTAAGATGTCCCTTTCTTGATTATCCTGACAGAGACACCACCCATTTGGAGATCGAGCCCTTCACCCTTCTCGGCGTCTGTGCTGGCCTGATCCCGTACCCTCATCATAACCAGTCTCCCAGAAACACGTATCAGTGTGCCATGGGGAAACAAGCAATGGGTAAGAGTCGTTCTTGAACTTGGTTTTAATCGTTGGATAATGATACGTTACTATTCCGTCACTGGTGCTGCATGCTTGCCTGCGTTGGGTGATGGGAACAGCTGAGTGGGTGGCCTGCGGACCTCTGTAGTGTCTGCACGCCTTCGTTTTTTTTGCAGGACAAAACTTAAACAAAAGTGGAGAAAAGCTTCTCTGAAATTGATTGCTTGACTAACCAAAAGAACTTGTAGTAGAAGTATGAAAGATGCATATGAGGAGAAAAAGCCTTCTGAAATGCAGGTGGTTATACAGGAGAGAGGGAAGAAAGAATGGAAAAGTTAAAGCTAAGAGAGGAGAGATAGAGGAGCGGTAAAGAGCACAGTGTGATTAGAATGCATCCCATGCTCACGTGACAATCACTGAACCCTGTGTATCCTCACAGTTGCTGCCACATTGCTTGAAATGTTGCCCACACATGTCATCTCAGCCTTCCCCACACACACACTCATCCATCTGTCTCTTCCTTTATCCATCTATCCATAACATGTATAAAGCATCTACTAGATATGGGGCTGGATCCCAGAAATCTGGAGACGTAGGCTAGAGCTCTGGTCTCCAGGAGTTTGTAGTAGAGTGAGGAGTACTGATAGACCCAGGAACAGAATCTAAGGAAGTCAGGAAGGATAAGGCTGTGAACGGGCTTTTCTGAAGGAGAGAACTGACTTGAATCTTGAATGACAAAATCCATTCTTTTCAGCGGTGTGGCAGTTTAAGCCAGCTTTGCCTGGGAGAGTCTTGGTCATCTCCTGTGGCTGGGTGGGACTTGATGACTACAGTGCTTTGCTTCGGAGAAGACAGTTTGCTTTAGGAGTTTGGGGTTTATCTTAAAAGTGCTATATAGGTAGAGGATCCAAGGCAAGAAAATTTGTTCTTACTGAACTTTTTTTTTTTTGAACTGTGTTTTAAAATTATTTAAACCCTAATAAATTTCAGTTTTATATGTATCTGTGATGTAATTTGGTGAAATGGATTGCTTTTGGTGGCCTGTCTCACCATAATCTAATAACTCCTACAACATGCAAATTAAGTGCTTGTGACTCATCAAGGGAATCGGTCAGCTTGCTAATAATGCAGATAGGGTATATGGAACCCTTGTGGGTATGGAGTTATGCAAATAAGGTTTACTTCTGGCCTCTTTGTCCTATGAGTCCGCCTCTGGGCTGTTGCTAGTGACCCTCCTTCCCCTATCTAGTTCGAGGTGGTCAGATGCCATCACTGAGCTGGTTATACACCTCAGGATGATTTTTTTCTGTCTGATTTAAAGTGTAATACAAAGGAACTTCATGAATGTAAAAATGTTGTGGGAAAGGTTTCTTACTTTTGCAGGAGAGTGATGGACAGTGTCCTCTGGTGTCATTTAAGCCTCTGAAAACCCACTGGAGGACCTCCTAGAGTCATGTCCCACTCTGGCACTGTCCCACATGGCAACAGCAGCACCAACTAGGACAATAATAACCAGAATGCTGTTAGCGTCTCAGTTTCTCAACAGTCAATCTTTTGTAATTAATCAACCCAAAACCCCACTGCCATAGAGTCCATCCTGAGATTATAAATCTTAATGGGAAGAGACTGCCTCATCCACACAGTGGCTGGTGAGTTTGAACTGCTGACCCTTTGGGTTAACAGGCAAACACTTAACATACCACACCCGCAGTTGACAACAGCCTGACAATTTACAAGTATCATTTCTTCATGAACAACTCCCAACAACATTCCTTTGTTTTGCAAGTGTATATTATTTCTTTTTTTCATTCATATACATTATTTTATTACCCCCCCCATGATTATGTTATTTCTTTTTTTAAAATTTATTATTAATTTCAGTTAAAATTTACAGAGACTTTGGGTTTCCATTCATTCATTGTTGCACTTTTCTCCCCTCCCAACCCTTCTCCGCAGTACACTACCCTCTTGGAAAAGTAAAAGAAAAATTCTTTCATTGTTTTATAATCCCTCCCCAGGTCCACTCCACTATGCAGCCTTCACTCTGGACTCCTGTTGTGACAATAATACCTAATCACATATCCCTTTCAAACAGTTTTCTCCCTCATCTGTTTCAATGCAATATATCATATTTATCCCATCTTTCTCAGTCTCTTCCCAACCCCGATGTCAGTCCAGTTTTACAACAGTGGCACTGTGCAGTATTTGTCCTTTTTGACTGAGATACTTCACTCAGTATAATGTCCTCTAGGGTCACCCATTTTGAATAATATTGCATGAGTTCCTTGTTTTTCAATGCAGCGTAGTATTCCATTGCGTGAATATACCACAGCTTCTCTATCCATTTGTTTATTGATGGGCACTTAGGTTGTTTCCAACTCCTTGCTATTGTGAACAAAGCTGCGATAAGCATAGGTGTGCATATATCTGCTTGGATGTCGGTGATGGTTTCCTTAGGGTGTATTCCCAGTAGTGGAATTGCTGGGTCAAATGGTATCAACTTTTTGAGAAAGTGCCATACTGCCTTCCACAGTGGTTGCACCATTTTACACTCCCACCAACAGTGAGTAAGGGTTCTAGTTTCTCCACAACCTCGACAGCATTTGTTGCTTGCTGTTCTGTTAAATTTTGCTATTCTGACTGGGGTGAGATGATATCTCATAGTTGTTTTGAAGTGTATATATTTCATTTTAGGTTTTTATATTGCCTTCTGGTTAGCTACAAAGAAATAAAAAGTATGTTGTCCCACTCCCATGTACCTGACTGATGTCATGCCCAGACAGTTCCGAGTAATTCCCAGTGGGAAAATCTAAACAGTGGCTCATCAGTGTCACCTTTGCCATTCCTCGTCCGCAGCAGGGCAGCCCAGTTTCCAGCCTGTGCTGCTGACTTGCTAACAAGTTGAAATATACAGTACTGAAGCCTGTGTGTCCTGAAAGGGCGATCCCTTCTACTGGGTTTACCAAACCGTTTTGTTTCATGATGTGAATCTGGGCTGAAACAATACACCTTTTGTGTAGAACCTTCAGCAGAATTAACAGAAGACTAATCACCTCATCACAAATGCCCCTCTCTGGTGTGTTTGAAGATGGGAACAGACAGAGCTGCCTGTGTTCATTTTGTGCATCTTTTAATTAAAAAAAAAATACTGAAGTGGAGGCTTGAAGCAAAGAAATGATATTTTTATTTTCATAGCCCTCTGTCTTCAGCCGGAAGGGCAGGGGGGAGCCTTTATTTTGTGGCCATGAGTCTTCGGCGTGTTTGGTTGGTTACCACACACAGTTAAGCAGGATCAGTGTGTACAGAAAGCCAATTCAGTGTCTGTAGAGTTCTTTTGTAGTTTTCTGTGTGAAGGTTTTTTTCCTCGTTTTGTTTTGAGTGTCATTTGCAATTCATTGTCTGTGTTTTCTGAGGTTGGTGTATTCAGCTGCTCTGACCCCGGGTCCTGCACGTTTAGCTCCTTGGATACAATCCTCTGACGTTACTGCTGACGCTGGGGAGACAAAAGCCACTGAATATCTTAAGTAATAAGAAAAAAAGAAAAAATGCCTTTGTTCCGGTTATTATAAAACACCTGACTGGACAGAAAAGCCGTTAGATAAAAGTGCATGTAAAGTTGGCATGGACCAAAACTGCTTCGGCATTTCTCGTTTGACTCTGAAAGTAGCTGCAGGAATAGTGAGTAAGGGCTGCATGGAAATCCTCACAAAGGAGGAAAGCCAGCAGAGTCAGAGCCTCCGCGGAGACCCCGTCTGTGAGGAGGACTTCTCCGAGCCCATTTAGTCCCAGGCCATCCAGACAACTAAAGTCCACACTTCTTCCCACTGCTGGGAACTACGTACACCTCACACATTCAGTGTAGATTTTGTAAAATATTTTTTTTTAATTGCTCATCCATATATTATTATTCCACGTAAGAAGTGAGATTCAGTAGCTCGGAATTCATCCTGAGTGTTTCAGCCAGCCTGCCAAGTTTTCCATCTTCCACTCACTCCCCACAGAGTGAAGAAATAAAAGTAAATTTTTTATGACTGCAGAAAGAGACCAGGACCATCATAAACCACAGAAAACAAGAGACAGAGCTGTCTTTAATCCAACGAGAAACACCAGATGAGGGTCCCTCTTACACCTGTTTATTTTCGGTTATTAAGTTCAGGCTTCCACAGAGCATCTTAATGTGCTGAGCTCAGAAGCTTTCTCTTCCGTGCACACAGCTGTGTGTTGTGACAGGTGAGAGGTCCAGAAGTCAGGCAGACACTGGGGACCTTGTGGGATCCCAGGTCACCCAGCAGGACAAGTGCAGCGGTGGGGAGCTGCATTGTGTGGGCTCCGGTTGGCACCCGGTGCCAAGTTCACATGAGTCACGCTTTCCTGTCCTGCCTGCTTTATTAGTTGGCAATCCTCTAGTGCAATACTTTCTCCTCTTTAAAAGGGTTTTTCAGTCACTATCAGCTCAGTTAATGAATATGCATCACTTAGCGTCCCTCTGCCCCCACATCCCACTTCTTGTCACCTCTTACCCCTTCAATTCCTCATTGCTGGGCCTTTTTTTAAAAAAAAAAATACAAGATCTAATGCTGCTTCTGATTTTGTTTTTGTTTACAATAGCTTTTCTTTCTAACGAGATCATTTTCTTCTTTTGTGTTCCCCACTCTATTAGCACAGTGAGGTGAATTTGAAATAGGCTGAAAGATTTTGCTTTATTAAAAACACATTAAAAGATCCTCGTACAAGTTTCTTTCCGTATGCAGTCTTCTTCTCAACTTTCCATTTGAAAGTTTTGGGGGGATCAGAGGAGGACACTAATTCTTTGTTCATTTGATTGGTACAAAATGAAAAGATATTGGCTAAAGTGTCCCTTTTTAGAACTCTGCTGCTAAAATTAATCTTTAAGTCACTGTAACTTTGAAGAATGTGGTGTTTCCTGAGACTAGGATGTTGATGATGAATACTTCTGGAGGTAAAATGTAACTGCGCTTCCCCATTTAGGGTTCGAGTCGGCAGTAGAGATCCTACAC